ACTTTATAAGCAAAGCTGGAAATCTGGACTTTCAAGTAAAATCTTCTCTTAAGTTGTTTTTAAAAATATTTGGGTCTGGCCACAGTGGCTGACACCTGTAATCCCAACACTTTGGGAGGCTGAGGCAGGTGGATCATTTAAACCTGGGGGTCTGAGATGAGCCTGGGAAACATGGTGAGATCATGTCCCTACAAAAATAATCTAGGCGTGGTGGCATCCACCTGCAGCCCCAGCTACCCGGGAGGCTGAGGTGGGGGCATCACTTGAGCCTGGCAGGTTGAGGCTGCAGTGTGCCATGTTTGAGCTATTACACTCCAGTCTAGGCACAGAGCAAGACCCTGTCTCAAAAATGCACACACACACACACACACACTCTCTCTCTCTCTCTCTCTCTCTCTCTCTCTCTCTCTCTCTCTCTCTCTCTCTCTCTCCCCCCCCCCCGCCCACCCTCTCCCTCACTCTCCCTCCCCCTCTCCCCACACATACAGTTTGTGGCAAAAGAGAAAGGACAAGACAAGTCTATATGTTAAATATGTCCTGCAAGCCATCATTTTATGACATCTGAGAACAATGTTATTTGCACCAAAGAGAAGCTAGTAAGGTATACCACAACAGGATTTTTTATTTACTAAGATGTATTCATTTCCTAAGGATAACATTAAAAATGGCTACAAACTCGGTGCTTTAAAACAATAGAAATTGTCTGGGCGCGGTGGCTCAAGCCTGTAATCCCAGCACTTTGGGAGGCCGAGACGGGTGGATCACGAGGTCAACAGATCGAGACCATCCTGGTCAACATGGTGAAACCCCGTCTCTACTAAAAATACAAAAAATTAGCTGGGCATGGTGGCGCATGCCTGTAATCCCAGCTACTCGGGAGGCTGAGGCAGGAGAATTGCCTGAACCCAGGAGGCGGAGGTTGCAGTGAGCCGAGATCGCGCCATTGCACTCCAGCCTGGGTAACAAGAGCGAAACTCCGTCTCAAAAAAAAAAAAAAAAAAAAAAAAAAAAAACAATAGAAATTTATTCCCTTATGGTTCTGGGGGCCAGAAATCCAAAGTCAATGTGTTAGCTGGGGATGCTACCCTCTGAAGGCTTTAGGCAGAGTAGCCTTTTCTGTTTCTTCCAGGTTCTGCTGGTTCCAAGCATTCCTTGGCTTGTGGCTGCAATACACTTTCTGTGTTCATCTTCACATCTTCTTGCCACCTTCTTGTGTGTCTCTCTTCTGTATGCCTCTTATAAGGACTCTTGTCATTGGATTTACAGCCCTCATGAGTAATCCAGGATCATCCCAACTAGAGATCCCTAAATTAATTTTATTTGTGATGTAACATATTGTTATACATTACAAATATACTTTCCAAATAATGTCATATGTATAAGTTCAGGGGGTAAAGACATTGACATTTTTTAAGAGCCAAATTTAAACCACTGCCATAGGTCATATTATAGAAATATAAAAGGGCATGAAACAACAATGTAGGGTTTAAAAATAGTTATAACATTACCACCCAGTGAAGAATGCTAGCAGGATAGGTGCCCCTACACCCTGTTCTTGTCCATCATGTCTGTCCTCTCTTGTACCACCAGAAATAATCTATTTTTTCAGAATATCCTACTTTCACTGCAATATTTTTATTGTTTTTCTTTGTAGTTGAACCATGTATGACTGCTTCATTAAACAATTTGTCTTAGTTCTGCCCAGTTTTGAACTTTATGTGACACAAATGATACTGAATGCATTCTTTTGTTACTGGTGTGCACATTTGTTATGAGATTCATACATGTTTTTGTGAACAGCATTTTTTTCTGTGTATTTCATAGGTATTTGTATTGTTTCAGATTTTAGTTATTGCTGGTGTTACCACACCGTACTTTCTTGAATGTATATTGTGGTGCATGTGTGTAAACTTTCCCTAGTTCATGGACCTAGCAGCAGAATAGCTGGTCTTTAAAGTATGCATATTAGCAGTGTTAATAGATAATGCTGACCTAATTTCAAAATTTTATACTAACAGGAAATTCCCTTTTTCTCATCCGAATCAATGCCTCTCTTTTGTATCTTCTCTCTTCTTTCCCCTTCTCTCCCCTTCCTACATTGACTCTTTTCCCTTTTCTCTTTCTCCTCTCTCCTTCCTCTCTTTCCCCCCTGCTGTCCTTTCCTTTTTTTTCTTTTTATTAATTGCTTCATTCGCTGATTCCTTTAGTGTCATATGCCTATGATGTGCTAGAAGCTTTATTTTTCTGAATCACTGGGCCATTCTTCCTAAGAAGGAAGCAAACTCTCTGTTTATAGGCTGCTGAAATGAAGCCTTGGGTGCTCCCTGGCACCTAGACCAAGAGGGATGTTCTAATTTCCAATACATGACTAGTGTTGAGAAGGCAGCCATTAGGAATCCTGGTCATTTTCTGATATTGATGGGCCACAAGAAGCCCCATCAATATCTATCAGCTCCCATCACCCTGGCAGAGCAGGCAGCTGTGTCCTCTGACCCCCTGTTGACATTCTGATAGGTTTCCCTTCATACTGCACACTTAAAAAAGCCTTTTCTCTCTCTCACCTGGAAAGGTCACCTCCCAAACATGCCACCTGGGATGAATTATATTTCTATTGATTTTTACTCTTTTGTCTCAACCACAAAGTTCATGGAGTGTTTGAGGGCAGCAACCCAGTTAAAAAAGGAAAGAACCAGATTGGTATGGTCTTAACACAAGCTAAATTCTATTTCATTTTCTCTATGTTGTTCTAAGTTTACTTTCAAGATTACAGGAATATTGCTCAACATGCAACCAGTGGAGCATTTGCTTCAGAGCATAACCTTCACCTGGAGGTTAATTTTTGAAATTAAAATTTATCTGTCTAATATAAGGAGCAATTTCATACTAAAAATACCATCTGCCCCATATAAAAGAATGACCTTCTTCCTTTAACATGACTCTGATTCTGTTTCCAGTGAACTAAAACTCTGGTCTTGGTGCCTTGGTTTACATGTAAATACTCTGACAATTTAAGAGTAATGGGATATGTGCTCAGATGACTTTTCTTTTTGGCTCTAGTAGTAAGTTTGGAAGAAAATCTCAATTCAGTATGACATGTACACATGGACAGCCATTTCTAAAACAAGATAGGTAGAATCTTAGGCTGCAGAAAGTGTAATGAATGACAGGCCAAGAGTGATGTCTTGGTAACTTCAGCCAAAGGGAAGACTTTAAAGCATTCTGTATCAGAAGCTCTGTAGCCATTAATAAAGAAGAGGGATGGTATGTGCCTAACCCAGAGAGCTGCCAAGTACATTCCAAGGCATTGTAAATACATGGCTACAACAAGATCTATCTTAAAATCTTAAGTCTCTCATGGACAATTTTATTCTTTGTGAATGAAATTGAACAGAGGCAAACTTCAAGACTTAATTTATTTTTTGCCCTAGCTAGAAGAATAAACAGACTCTTAGATCCTAAAAGAATCTGACTCAGCTAAGAAGAGGCAAGTCAGCAAGAAGTAACTTAATAGAATAATATCCATTTGACTTCTGCTTCTGCTTCTTTGAATTGTTTAAGAGCTCCATTTTCTGAAATTGGCTTTGGCTCAGGGATGTCAGATTGTGTAGTGGGTTTTACCATTTTGATGAACTTATCCATTTCAAAACCTGAACACATGATGGTTTTGCTCTTCTTACTGTAAGAGCAGTTGCTGATACACTAAGTTGGTGACAGGGCACCTAGCAGAGAAAGAGAAGTGGTTTGGTAAGTGGGCCACAGAAGAGCTTTATAACAGTAGTTCTCAACCTTTGGTAACTAAGGGAATCTGCTAGGGAAATTGAGAGGAAAAAAAAGTCTGAGATATTGCCTACCTCAATGAGTCTGGACTCTGCATTCTTTATCATCTCTCTAAATGATTGCTATGCCCACCAAAATGTGAGACTCGCTGCCCTATAGCATGGGTGTTAGAAACCAGGTTCTGGAATTAGACAGATGTGGGTTCAAATTCTTCTCTCAGCCTTCATTTCTAACTTTAGAGTGTGGACCTGAGACAACCTGCTTTCTATGGTTGATGTGATGTTTCATGAGAAAATGTACATAAAATACTTCTTATTTTTGTAATTGTAACAATTATTCAATTTTATGGCCTTACAGATAAGGGAAAACTTTGAATAATTTAAGTAATCCAAAAGTAAGTTCATTTTTTTTCCCTCTGGTTCTTATTCATAGAACTCAACTTTGTAAGTTTCCAAAATCTTTCCATTGTCACAAACAAGATACTGCAGGGGAAGGAGATGATGTAATCTTCATTGTTGCAGATGGATAAAAGGAAAATTGGATAGGTTAAGTGTGTACCTGCTCATGTTTCCATGACTGAGTGAGATTCATAGATTTGGGATTTGAGCCTAGGCCTTGGGACACTGAATCTAATCTCTTTTTCCACTCTGGCTCTTGCAAGATCTTATGACCTCATAGGAACATTTAAAGGTACACTGTCCTAAAGTGGAAGCTAGAGAGTTCCCTGGGGCTTGGCCTCCTCATTCTTGCTCATCTGGACACTCTTTGTACACAGGATTGAGGTTTATATTGGGCTCAGTTCACCTACAGTCTCTTCAAAAACTTGTCCATCATATTTGGCTAGAAAGTCAATTACATAGTGGAATATTGCTAAGTCCAAGAATGTTCTTAAAATAATATGGATCAGGAGCTGACATGGTCAGGGATGGAGAGTGTGGCATAATGGTTGACCTTAGCCATATTACCATCTCTTATAACCCTCTGTTTTCTCACCTACAAATGGCTATTCTGCTAGTAACTACCTACCTGTCAGATTGAACTAGAAATTTAGTCATAGATTAGTGCAATTAGAATATTTTTCCTCCTTCTGTCAATTTTTTTTTCAGTTGACACACAAGAGTATCCAGTCCACTAAAACAAAGAAAATAATCACTTTTATTTTTATTCCTGAATGTGCCAGCAGTGCCCTGCAAGCACTGACCTTTTCATTTAACTCTGTTTAGGGTTTGATGCCTACTTTACGTCCCGCACACTTGAAAACAACAGAAGAAATGTATGGTTTGCCGAATACTGGGAGGAAAACTTCAACTGCAAGTTGACAATTAGTGGGTCAAAAAAAGAAGACACAGATCGCAAATGCACAGGTAATTTAATTCTCATTGTCCTTCTCCTATTACTCTACTTGGCTAGCATGAAATGTCTGCATAGTTGACAGAAGGAAGCTTGGCTGGAGACAAATTGAAAAAGTGAATTAAATTTTACTAGATTATTCAGAAAATGGAACAGAAGCATACATCTTGCAGGACAAAAGAAGTACAGACAAGAATGTATTCTTTTCTGCCTGTCTGTCTAGCAGTAATTGACATATTCAGTGATTCTTTGAATTCAGAAGGGGTCATGTTGCTTGAATGCTCTCGTTCGTAAATGTTAGTTCACGTTCCAGCGAGGGGTATGAAGTCATTTTCACATAGACAAAAATCTCTAACAAATCCATGCCATTGCTGGATTTAACTGTTACCATGGACAGTGTACTTGATTAAAGAAACAGAGTGATTGGGTTAGAATAATGAGAATTCCGAATAATTTTCGTAACGTCTAAGTTAATGAGTTACCTGCTATTTAAAATATTCACTGCTCCTTATATGTAACCTTGCAAGTAAAAAAAATCTGTGTTTAAGTTAGAAGAAAAATCACACCCTCATTCATTTATTCACTCACAAATATTTACTGGATGACTCCTTTCTGCTATGTACTGTGCCAGGCACTGGTGGTCCAGTGGTGAACAAACTGAGTGAGAACCTGCTTCTATGTTGCTCAGAGTCTGGTGAAGGGAATTTGACTTTATTCCAGTGATATAGCAAACGAATTCATAATTATAAACTGCATCCATGTTCTGAGTGTTATGAGGACATGTAACTAAGGAAGTTTCTACTCATGTTGAAGGTAGAAGGTGTCTCAAAAGACCCTTTTGAGAGCAGGATACTTTAGTCAAGAAAAAAATGAAGGACTAGGCATTGGCTTGTCTGGGAAGGAAAAGAAGTTAGATAATTCTGATTAAACATGGTAAATGGCTTGCAGTAGGAGGAATTTTTATGCTTTGGAGAATGTGAAAAACAGAAAAAAACATGACTGAAGTACACAGATAGAGAGAATGTATGAGCCAAGGCTGCAGATTTAGAGAGATAGTCAGGAACTAAGTCATTTTAGGATGTATGTAGGCCATGGCTTTTATTCTAAGAGCAGTGGCAACCATGGAAGGGTGTTACACAGAGTATGGCATGATCTACCATCTTATCAACTAGACCTCTTTAAAAAGCCTTTAAGATTTGTAATGATGACCTTCAGGTATAATAAGGTAATAGGGCTGAAATGTTTTATGTATGATCAAGAAAGATACATACATTCATGCGGGACATACTTTCTGCCTCTAGTCCGTCTTTGCGTCATAGCTGTTTGAATACCCATCACCCACATGTTGTAGATTAATCCACTCAACAAGCATCTGTTAATCAGGTAATGCCTGGTATTAGGAACACCATGAAATCTGTGAGGATACTTAAATGTAGTCTCAAGGAAGTTTTCAAGAAACAGGAGCAATACATAAGATATGACCAGAAATATGAATAAAAATAATGATACAAAATCAATAAGATATATATATTAAAGGTATCATTCAGTTAACTGGAATGTCAAATTAACCATTTTGTCCAGCTCATACTGTGTGGCAATAGTTCAGAGTTACGGTCCTTAGAATAGTGGGGGAAAAGGGAAAATATTAATTTAATGTTGACTAGACCTAGGTGACACAAAGCTTTCAAGTGGAAACTGAAAAAATTAGTTTGACATCTGGATAATTTGTCTATATGACAGGGGTTACATTCAAGTGTACCAGAAGTATGTAGATGATTGATGACAGTTTTCCTGGGTTCTTTTTGACATTTCATTTCCTGTAGAGGGTCCGGAAGGTGGAATCGATTGATGGACGTTAGAATTGTCGCAATCTGAGGACATACCTTTGACTTTTAGGAGTTTTAACACAGGCTGTTTCATATGGACCCATGTATTAGGGTTGATCATTGAGAATTTTGGTTTATACAAACCAGTAAACTCATTATGCAAACCTCTACCTTACAAAAATGAAAATAGAAGTGTTTGTGTCTTTCCTAACTAACGTGCTTCCTCCATGTGGATATTTATAATCACATTAACTAAATTACCAGCAGCCCCAAATTATTTGTATGTTCTCCCCTTTCTTCTTCCCTCCTCATTACCTTTTCGGTGATGAGCTCTGCCATATGGAATGGAGTTAGATGCTGTTACCATCACCGTTATCTCTTACTTTTCTACCTATTGGTATTGTGTTCATGTTTTGTTTCTCTTGACCTTACATTTTCCAAATCCAACCATATGTACATCATTATTTGATAGCATTCCAAAAAATACTATTTAAAAAATCATTACATTTATGTATACTTCAATTTGAAAGTGAAGAATCAGTGGGAAAGGTAACCTGGTTACGTGCTTTGGTAACTGGATTTTATGACACCAGAACAGGCACATTAGAAAAGGCAACCAGATGAGGAGGGTAGTAGTCTGGCACTGAAGATCTGCACTGTGACAACAGTGAATGTTTTGATCTGAGGACTGCAGAACATAGCTCCATTCACAGAGCTCCCTCTGTGACTCGGCTCTACTAAAGAATGAGGAAGTCTTACTAATACAACATTCACTCTTAAGATGTGAGCACAAATTAAAATGTAAACCTTTTTTTTCTTTTGGGCTGGGTAGCCTCCTTAGCCATACCAAACTACAATTGTTATATATTAGCTGCAAGTAGACCAGCACTGAATCAGCCATTTGACGAATTTTAAAGATGAGAAATGTGACACATCCTGTTTGGAGGGAACAAATTCCTGAGGTCAGAGTATAACAATGAGTTCTAAAATCACAAGAAAATGCAAAGTCATGAGAAGAATAATAATTATTGAAAAATATTCATTAAAAATGTGAGATAAGCTGTTCATACATCATAATTTTACTTGGGGCTAGATGTGCATGAATTCTTATAGAAAATGACCTGGAAAACTATGTAATCTTTATTTCTGCAAATTATCCATGTTCACACTTAAAGTTTCCTCCAAGCAAGGGATTTTATCACATTCTTTAGTATTTTAAGAACATCCCCACTTTCCTTGATACAGAATCCCAGGGTGTGCCAACCCGAGAGCTAGACATTCTTTCTCTTACCTTCCTTCTGAGTAGCCTAATAACCACTGATGTAGATCAAGCATTGGCAGTGAGCCATCCTACTCATGGGATATGTTGGCTGTCATCACAGTGTGAAATGCAGTTCAGCAAGTATATGGTCGTCCAAGCCATCAAAGAAAACACAGCCTCCATTTGACAGTCACTAAAGCCATTCATGCTACTTTGTGGAAGAGCTACATTTTCTCATGGAGACGGTGCTAGCTATACACACAGTCATCTCTTCTAGAGAGTTTGCCACATACCATTTGTCATTTGCAAGCAGAAATATCAGATGTAATTTTTTTTTTCTGGGTTGTATTTATATTCCCCTACCCAGAGCCCACCAGCTGAGTGTGTTTACCCTTGAGACTTGCCAAGGTGCTGCTGGCACAAAGACCAGTTTAGAGTATGACCTCTTTGAGAATAACATGTTTCTATGGAGATACTAATGGTCAAGGAAAGCAGGAACATTACACAAATGAAGTGACATTTCTGAAAAAAGAGATTGAGGCCATCTTGGAGTAAGAAAAATCATTATACCACAGTGGTTAAGAAACCATAGGTTTCTAAGGACATCCATGACTTCTCATGCCTGTGAGTGCTTGGATAACATCTTTTTGTTTAACCTCTCAAAGCCATTTTTTACTTTTGAAGTGAGAATAGGAAACTTTACATTCGAAATTGTTGAGTGGATTAAATAATTTAAATAAAGGGTCTTAAATTTTATTAGCACACAGTAATAGCTAACAATGGAAATTGCTTTCTGCTGTTCTGAGCTGAATTCAGTGGCCTATGAGGAATTCATGAAGATCCTCTTGTCTGTCACTCCTTAGAGATAAGGATGTGTATCAACTCCAATAAGAAAACAAATATATAAGTATAGACAAGAATTTTTACTGAGGTGCACATTATAGGGTGAGGTATTGAGTATCAAAAAGTTTGCAGATAGGCATCGTACAATGTTATGCTGTGAGTGGAACATGAAGCTCAACGCTTAAGGAAATTTTGTGCTGTAACACTGAGTGGGTGTTCAAGGCTCAATGACACTGGGACACAAACTCTGCATTATAGAAAGTGTTATATTCCAAAATTTCCTCATTTTCTTCTGATGAGCTGTATCCTTACGTAGCTAATGGCATTTATAAGATTTTGGCACTCAACCCGTCTTATCCCAAAGTCTGCTCATTTTCTGAGCAGCTTTATTTTTACATAGCTAATAGCATAGAATATCTTAGCTCCCAAATACATTCTTTAAGCTCAGAAGAAGCTTCTGAGAACATGAATATGTTTGCCTATGACTGGGCAACATCTTATGACGTATCAATCATAACTCATGACTTACCCGAACATTTGTCTAACTAATATCATTGTTGTGTGAAATGCCACTTGAATAGATTTATTAGAGTTACCTTCTTGCTGGAAAGTAGGAACTCACCATTTACAAATCCATCATCTGATGATGGGACAATTTAACGTTCAGAGATTTGTTTTCCTTTTGAGATGACAGAAGATGAATAAAATGGTGACTTTTTTATATAACAATTCTTCACATGTCATTGCTAGGGCTTTCAAGTCACACAATAAGCAAATTCAGTTTTGATTTGTGTCCCTAATCAACCCCTGTTTACTGTGGAAAGATATCAAGGGCTAAAGAGTGTACTCTGATAAATGTCTACATTTCAGAAGTTCAGTATTCTTAAGCTGTGTTTTTCTTTACACCTCACTTCTCCGAGCTGATACTTTAAGTTCTCTTTTTCAGTGGAGCTAAAAACAAGCCTGTTGATAAATGCTGTTAATGAATAAGCCATGTATTTCTTATCTTTTCTTTTCACCAGGACCCAGGCTCATTAGAGTCTATATTATTCGTTAACAAGACAAAGGAATTACACTTAAAATC